CCCTGTTAATACTGAGATCATTGTGTGGTACAATAACTCAGACTTTTATCCCTGAGAATATGAGTCCTTGGTCACTTACATCATTAACACGTTGTTGAAATTGCCCTTTCAGTTGACACCAGGCATCAAAGCATTGGGAGGAACAAAAGGGAATGCAAAGTTCCAGAGATACTCCTGTCTGCTCAATAATTTAGCACATACCTGTTATCCTAGCAACTGAGGAGGCTGGGGTTGATCATCAGGATGAAGTTGTAACTACCTCCTCTAGCTGCTAGTCTATGAGCATAAGTAGCCAAAAGTAATTGGGCAGCTGCTGAAGGTATTGATTAAGTAGAACTCTTACTGTGTGCCCTGGGAGTGGTGTCTGCAGAGTGTGGAGGTGTGGCAAGAAACACATTTTTAATGGATTATTAAAAGTGACAGTGAATGGCTCTAATTCAACTACTACCTTTTGGTCCTAGTTGTCCAGGACAGAGATTCAAATATATTAATATCATTACATCTTGACCCTTAACCATGAAGGGGGTCACTCCAATAGGAACACAGCAACATCTCTATAATTTCAAGCTTGGTCTATAGAAAACAACTACCACTCAGTTTCTCATTGATACTGTATCCCTCTTTTTTGGAAGACTCCTTGTTGCTTTCCTGAAAAGTGTATTCTAGACTCAGCTAGGAAACACAAACAGCTGGTAGGATCTCTGGCCTTTCAAAATAAATACCTTCCAATGTTTCCACTTCTGTAAGACCTTGGATTGCTTCTTCAGTACATTGTGAAGGTAGTCTTTCATCTCAACATCATTTATTTGAGGCTAACATCATTTGGAAGCTTCAAGTAGAAATTCAGTAGCATATTAAAATCAACTGTAGGTAGACATCCCAGAATGTGAAAAGTTAACTCAAAGATTGCCCTCATAGATAGTTTACCTGCTATCTGATTTTAGAGCCTGTCCTCTGTAATCCAATATCTCACTATGTCAAGATTAATTCTTTGGAATGTTCTCCAGATTACTCTTGGAATTTATTAGCCAGATTCTTTAGTGCATTTGATGAATGATACATTTCATCCTGTAACAAAAATTATCCTTTTCCATTCAGGTTCTGCCAAGACTCTAATTATTTATCTACAAGCAGTGATGGGAAATGAGGGCAGAACTTGACAAGGTTAAGAACCAACTTAACAATATCTTGAGCTGAGGCTTTCATAGGGCAAGTAGCCATTCTCCACTGGAAAGGACAGAGACCTTGTTTCCTTGGTCAGTAAGAATCTAGGGGTTCAAGACCTTTAAGGATATCTACTCGAATATTATCTTATCCTAAATTTCAGTAAGGCTCCTGACTTCAGTGGAGGGAACTTGGTAGCTCTTTAAATTGGGCCTCCATTATAATTCCACTTCTAAAATAACATCTTAGCTCCGATTTGTAGCAAGGTCTGTGCTGTAACTAAAGGAAATGAGAGTCACTTTGATTGTTGCTTGGAGGTCTTCAGTTAACTTAAGTATTGACTGACCTGAGTCCATATTTTCTATTTCTTCCTTTAGTGTTCTTTGTCATTTTGAAAATGTTTTAGCTTTTCTTTTTAATTAACACATAGTAATTGTATGGATTTGTGGGTTACAGTATATATATATATATATATATATATATATATATATATATGCATATATATGTGCAATATTCAGGATAATTGGCATTTTATCTCCTTATTATGTTTGAGTCATTAAAGCTCCTCTCTTCTAGTTTTTGATAAAAATGTAATAAGTTATTGGGAACTATAAAAACCTAGTGCGCTGTAGAGCACCAGAAGTTAGTATTCTTCTTTGAGTGCATTTTGGCACTTAGTATCCACCCTCCCTCTGTCTCCATGGCTCCTACCTAGCCTCTAGTAATTACAACTCTACTCTCTTCTAGTAATTACTATTCTACTCTCTCAAAATTCAAGCTTCCATTTATGAGAGAGAACATGTGTTCCATGTCTGTATTACTTCACTTAACATAATGTTCTCTAGTTCTATCCATTATCCTACAAATGACAGGTTTCAGTTTCATTCTTTTTATGGCTAAATGACATTCCATTGTTTCTGTATACAACATTTCCTTTATCCATCATTTGTTGATGGACACATAGGTCAATTCAACATCTTGACTATAGTAAATAGTAATAAACATAGATGAGTGGGTATCACTTTAGTATTCTGGTTTCATTTCCTTTGGGTATACACTTAAAATTGGGATAGCTGGATCATATAATAGATGTATTTTTAAGTTTTTAAAGTAACTCCATACTGTTCTCCAGAGTGACTGATCTAATTTACATTCCCACAACAGTGTTTAAGAGTTCCATTTCCAGTGTACCCCAGCACAACAATAAAAACAAATAAATTAAAAAGTCTTTCTTAAAAAACAGTTTCATTTCTACCCATCCTCACCAATATTTGTAATTTTTTGCTTCTTTGATATTAGCTGTTTTGACTGGGGCAAAACAACATGACTTTGTGGTTTTAATTTGCATTTTGCTGAGGGCTAATGATGTTGAACATTTTTTCATATACTTGTTAAACATTTGCATTTCTTCTTTGGAGAAACGTCCCTTCAGATCACTTACCCATTTTTATTTGGATTTTTTATTTTGTTGTTACTGTTGAATTACTCGGGATGCTCATATATCCTTGGTTTTTTTTTTTCTTTTCTTTTTTTTTTTTTGGTAGCACTGGGAGTTGAACACAATTTCCTTGCACTTGCTAGCGAATCACGATACCACGAGTCCCACCACAGCCATTTTTACTTTTTTTAAAGATAGAGTCTCACTTTATGCCCAGTTAGCCTGAACCAAAATCTTATTTTTGTCTCCCAGTGTAGCTGGGATGGCAGGTGTGTGCCCATGCTCAGTCATTGGGTTAATTGGGGTCTCATAAACTTTTCGCCCAGGTGGCCTGACTGAAATCCTCACAATCTTCATCTCCAGAGTAGCTAGGATTACAGGCTTGAACCTCTCTGTCCCAACTCCTTATATACACTCGATATTAATCTTTTATTAGATGAATAGTTTGAAAATATTTTTTCCATTCTGTAGGTTATGTCTTCACTGTCAATTATTTTCTTTGCTGTGCAAAAAATCCTTAATTTGATATAATCACATTTGTTTATTTTTTCATGTGCTGTCTGTGCATTTGGGGTTTTGTCAACAAAACAAAACACTGCCTATACTGTTGCCATGAAGTATTTTTCCTATTCCTTTAGGTTTTTTATAGCAATTAACTAACTCCACAATATCTTATCTTTCAATGTGAGAGTACTAGCATTCTTTTCCATCTATATTCTACACTCCTGATGAGAGTCATAGTAATTGTGGTCCTATAATTCTACTGCGCTATCCACCAGCAAGGGATTCATTCACCTTGGTGGTGATTGATTCAATTCAGGAATCTGACACTAAATATCTGCTTCCTAGGACCACCTCTGTCTTAACTTAGGTTAGGGTTACCCATAAGAAGACGCAGAGTCAAGGGTTTGAGTAAATTTAGTTTATTTGGAAGGTAAACCCAAGAAGCACCAAGAGAAGAGTCAAGAGATGAGAAAGAAAGGAAATCCATTTAGGGTGAACCAAATGGAAAGATTACCTTGTGGGAATGACAGACTTACTCCTTCGGAGACCTCTGACAGTCCAAAGACCGTGCCTCAGAACTGTCCTTCCTGAAGGACAATGAACCTGGGGTATTTATCCCTTAATTCCCACTATCATTGTTGAGAGTCTCTCCTGAAGACATTAACTCCCTGGTACTTCTGGTTGGCCTGCTTCATGGGCGACTTGCTCTAGAAACTAGAGAACGCCTTATAGGGAAGAGTTACAGACACAACAGGAAGCCATGTGGCTGGTACTTACAGAAACACTGCACCAAGAGTAAATAAATAAGACATTGTCAAATATTTGTTACAAAAGATAAATCTCCTGTAAATGTATCATGATTATTAATGGAAAATAATGCCATTAAAAACCACAATTTTTTTAAATGCTAGCTAACTGCAGCCTATCAGTAGCATAGCTATTGTGTAAAGCTAGTCATCAACATGAATATTTTGGTTGTTTCTTTTCATGTTGATTGGTCTGATACCTTCTTGGTCAGAATATATGAAGATATATTCCTCTGATTAAGCAAAAAGAATATTATACTGCTTACTTTCTTGGCCTAAATATTGATATGAAGAGTACATGCAGATAGAATAGACCCATCTCAACTTCTTATACCCTTTCTGAAATAAAATTTAGATATGGATTTTGAGAAGCATGATTGCATTGCCCCAAAAAAATTCACAACACTAAAGAATTTAAAACATTTTTAGAAGTAGGGAAACAGCAACCTTTAATGTTTTATTTTTCACTTGTGAAAATATATATATAATATATCTTACATGTATAGAAGAGTCCCACAGCTCAAGTCAGAAAAAGTAAAGAGAAAATCTCATTCAAGGGATGAGTCTTTTCAGATGGCTTTCAGTTAAGACAACATTCAGAGCATGGCAATGACAATGAGGGCAGCAAAAGCACAGGGAGCCTGCGTATCTGGCTCTGAAGAGCTGAATCACAGACGACTCTTAGGTCTGTCAAGAATGGAGGTCATCTCTGGAGAAAATACCGTTTCTATTTAATAGGCCTGTCAGACTATCAGAGAACGTAAGGAAAGCTGAACAAAGACACAACAGGGCAAGGCAACTGCCAGTGCTTAACTTGACAGCTGGTTTGCTTTTATGCCCCTTCTCCTTAAGTCCCTATACCTTTGCTGATTTAAAGGAGCAAATTTCAGGACTGCCTCTGCTCCTGCAAAATTTTGCTCAGCAACACAACAAAATTTTGTAACAGACCAGGTATTCAAAAAGCTTGTAAACACTGTGCTGATGGTGGGAAAAACATAAAGAACATTTGCTATTTCTCTCTTACAGGAAAGATACAGGCTTGGGTCTTTAGGTCGTCACATGTGTTTCCCTATCCCGATGTTTACCCAAAATGGTAAAAATTGAGGCACAATTCATGAGATCATGGGATTATGTCTATCATATGTCAGCAAAGTTGCCTACTAGGATTTGGCACAGCCAGAGCAGTTGACAACTTTGGGTGATGCGAGATGGGGCTTCACGATGTCCGGCTCTATGGACTCCATTAAGTCACACTCGTTTGCAAGTATGTGCTTCACCAGGCATCTGGAGGCTTCATCAATGTTTATATTTTCCTAAGGAGAAAAAAAAACCAGCATCTCTTATTCAGTATTCCACAGTACATCAGAGAAGAGTCTCATATATGACAAAATGTCAGTATTTTTTGTTTGCCCTGATCTCTATTATTTCTTTCCATCTTCTGCTTTTCGGTTTGACTTGTTCTTGTTTTTTTAATAACTTGGGGTGTGTCATTAGGCTTTTTATTTGAGATCACTCTGATTTTTTAATGAAAGCATTAATGGCTATGAATTCCCTCTTAGCACTGTCTTTGCCATGTTCCAAAGATTCTAGTTAGTTGTGTTTTCATGTTCGTTTGATTCCAGAAATTTTTTTTATTTCTACCCCCAGAAAGCAGTATTTTTAATGATTCACTTAAACATCTCTTTCTATATAGTAATCCATGCATCCTCTTATTTCCCCTTCCTCTTATTTTCTTTCAGATACTCTATTTTTTAGCACCTCACAGAAGTAAAAATATGTATTTCAGTGAATTAAATCTATGAGAGGGCAATTTCTGACTTTCACATACTTTTTTTTTTTTAGTACTGAAGTTTGAACTCAGGGCCTACACCTTGAGCCACTCCACCAGCCCTTTTTTGTGATGGGGTTTTTGAGATAAGGTCTTGAGAGCCTCCTGATCTCTGCCTCCTGAACAGCTAGTATTACAGGCATGAGTCACAAGTGCCCAGCTATTTTTACATACTCTTGTAGCATAATATTATAGAAGAAGTGTTTTTAGTCTTAGATTTATATTTGCCTTATGATACATACTACTTTTGTGATCTTGATGTGAAATAGAAATATTAGAACGCCTTTTGCAGCCATTGTTAGTAGTTAAATAAATACTTTTGGCTCTCTGCCTTCCAATCAAATGATAGAAGTGCACTGCTTCTGACCTCCTGGAAACTAGGCATGGACACATGACTTTCGATGGTCAATGACATGTGAGAAGTTATGTGTCTCACTTTCATGTAGAAGCCGTGTGAACCAGTGCTCAATTCCTCGTACTCTTTTCTCTGTTCTGCAATCACGGCAATACCAAGGTGAGGATTCTATTGTCTGTGGTTTAGGAGTAAGGATCAAGTAGAGATAAATATCCCAACCAGCTCATGATAATACATGCAACATCAGTGAGAATTATGATTTTGCTGTTCTAAGTCGCTGAGATTCTGGATGGATACAACCTTTTAAAGGAAAATGTGAAATCAGAAATAGTCTAATTTTAATAATGAAATAAGACTTAATTTGGACAAAATATAGAGCAAGCATTTAAATCTGAAATATGCTAATTATTTAATTACTATAGAATAAATTGCCTGTTTTCTATTACACAGAAATCAGAAACATGTACTATTTAATACTAATATGCTAAAATAAAAATAATTTTATTCAGGTTAAATATAGTAAAGATCTCCATCAAAGTTAAATTTCATTTTTAATCACCATTTAGAGAAATTCTTTGACATATTCCCATATATTCAAAATGAGGAGAAAAGGACATTCTTGTCCAATTGTTTCATGTTTGTACCTTGCTGTCTAATCTGAAGTGGAACAATTTAGTTGTAATTTTTGAATGTATGTCAAAATGTTGGTATTTTTAAAGACCATTGCATGAAGTCATGTTACGTGAAAAATCTAAGAGGTAGAGATGCTTTCCAAATACAACGATGGCTAATGGCATTAGCTGAAAATACTTAGTGTGTCCTCATTCTTCATTCCCGACCTTACTTTACCCACTATGAAAGCATAGGATAACTGTGGAGTCCCAGACAACAGCTGATTATTTTTCTCCCTGGTTAAGAGTTATCATGAAAGTGTTTCGAGAGTGTCTAAATCTAAAACACAAGGTAAAAGTCTGACTGCATTTTTAACTTGTTGCTCTGTTACTGAGTTTTATACCTGAACAGGGTCTGTGTCTTTGAGCCTCTATTTCTTCAATTATAAAATAGTATTGTTGATATGACTCACCTAAAACTTGCTTCCCTTGACAGGGTGTAGGGGTCCCATTCGTGCTTTCTTTTTTTTTTTATTATTCATATGTGCATACAATGCTTGGGTCATTTCTCCCCCTGCCCCCACACCCTCCCTTACCACCCACTTCACCCCCTCACATCCCCTCAATACCCAGCAGAAACTATTTTGCCCTTATCTCTAATTTTGTTAAAGAGAGAGTATAAGCAATAATAAGAAGGAACAAGGGTTTTTGCTAGTTGAGATAAGGATAGCTATACAGGGAGTTGACTTGCATTGCTTTCCTGTGCATGTGTGCTATCTTTTAAGTTAATTCTTCTTGATCTAACCTTTTCTCTAGTTCCTGGTCCCCTTCTCCTTTTGGCCTCAGTTGCTTTAAAGTATCTGCTTTAGTTTCTCTGCGTTGAGGGCAACAAATGCTATCTAGTTTTTTAGGTGTCTTACCTATCTTCATATATCCCTTGTGTGCTCTCGCTTTTATCATGTGATCAAAGTCCAATCCCCTTGGATCTAATGTCTGCATATGAGGAGAACATATGATTTTTGGTCTTTTGGGACAGGCTAACCTCACTCAGAATGATGTTCTCCAATTCCATCCATTTACCAGCGAAAGATAACATTTCGTTCTTCTTCATGGCTACATAAAATTCCATTGTGTATAGATAGCACATTTTCTTAATCCATTCATCAGTGGAGGTGCATCTTGGCTGTTTCCATAACTTGGCTATTGTGAATAGTGCTGCAATAAACATGGGTGTGCAGGTGCCTCTGGAGTAACCTGTGTCACAGTCTTTTGGGTCTATCTCCAAGAATGGTATTGCTGGATCAAATGGTAGATCAATGTTTAGCTTTTTAAATAGCCTCCAAATTTTTTTCTAGAGTGGTTGTACTAGTTTACATTCCCACCAACAGTGTAAGAGGGTTCCTTTTTCCCGAATCCTCGCCAACACCTGTTGTTGTTGGTGTTCCTAATGATGGCTATGCTAACTGGGGTAAGGTGGAATCTTAGTGTGGTTTTAATTTGCATTTCCTTTATTGCTAGAGATGGTGAGCATTTTTTCATGTGTTTTTTGGCCATTTGAATTTCTTCTTTTGAGAAAGTTCTGTGTAGTTTACTTGCCCATTTCTTTATTGGTTCATTAGTTTTGGGAGAATTTAGTTTTTTAAGTTCCCTATATATTCTGGTTATCAGCCCTTTGTCTGATGTGTAGCTGGCAAATATTTTCTCCCACTCTGTGGGTGTTCTCTTCAGTTTGGAGACTGTTTCTTTTGATGAGCAGAAGCTTTTTAGTTTTATGAAGTACCATTTATCTATGCTATCTCTTAGTTGCTGTGCTGCTGGGGTTCCATTGAGAAAGTTCTTACCTATACCTACTAACTCCAGAGTATTTCCTACTCTTTCCTGTATAAACTTTAGAGTTTGTGGTCTGATATTAAGATCCTTGATCCATTTTGAGTTAATATTGGTATAGGGTGATATACATGGATCTAGTTTCAGTTTTTTGCAGACTGCTAACCAGTTTTCCCAGCAGTTTTTGTTGAAGAGGCTGCTATTTCTCCATCGTATATTTTTAGCGCCTTTGTCAAAGACAAGTTGGTTATAGTTGTGTGGCTTCATATCTGGGTCCTCTATTCTGTTCCACTAGTCTTCATGTCTGTTTTTGTGCCAGTACCATGCTGTTTTTATTGTTATTGCTTTGCAGTATAGTTTGAAGTCAGGTATTGTGATACCTCCAGCATTGTTCTTTTGACTGAGTATTGCCTTGGCTATTCGTGGCCTCTTGTGTTTCCATATAAATTTAACGGTAGATTTTTCAATGTATTTAATGAATGTCATTGGTATTTTGATGGGAATTGCATTAAACATGCAGATTACTTTGGGATTATAGACATTTTTACTATGTTGATTCTACTAATCCATGAGCATGGGAGATCTCTCCACTTTCTATAGTCTTCCTCAATCTCTTTCTTCAGAAGTTTATAGTTTTCCTTGTAGAGGTCATTTACATCTTTTGTTAGGTTTACACCTAGGTGTTTGATTTTTTTTTTTTTTGAGGCTATTGTAAATGGAATTGTTTTCATATATTCTTTTTCAGTTTGTTTATTATTAGTATATAGAAATACTGATGATTTTTCTATGTTGATTTTATATCCTGCTACCTTGCTGTAGCTATTGATGGTGTCTAGGAGCTTCTGAGTAGAGTTTTTTGGGTCTTTAAGGTATAGGAGCATGTCATCTGCAAATAGGGACCATTGGTGCTTTCATAAGAAGAACATGCTAGGCACTTTTTACACTTGATCTTTAATCCCACTTAAAACACTACATGATAAGGATTACTTTTTTTTCTCATTCATTTGTTATTGTTGGGTGGTGGTGGGGTGACAATTCTCCTTTCATTTCAAGTATGTGCCTCACTGCAGGGAAGCCACAGAGAATAGCTGTACTTGTGCCCCTGCCCCCTGCTGGGAAGACTCCTGAGCCCTAACGTCATTGCCCCTGCTTGGCATACCTGTCACTCTTCCTGTTCCTACTATTATGCCCACAGGTCATACTTGAACTTCCTGCTCCTGGGCAGTAATAAGGCATAGGCAGGGTTGGCTCTTTGGGCAGATCCAGCTCAGGACTTTGCTTTTGAGCCCAGCCACCCGTTTATGTGACAGAATAGAAGCCTGCTCAATGGTCCTCTTCTATCTCACATTCAGGATGGTGGGGATGAGTAACCTCACTTCGCCTTCCAGACCTCAACCCCATGAACCAACATCTCTCAGTAAAGAAGGCCTTAACAGAGGTGACTTTAAGGTAACGCTCAGCAGTTAATAAACTAATACTTTGATTTCCTTTGGCTGTGTCTTGTGTTGGGAAAGGAGGTAATAAAATCCTACCCAAGACCAACATGAAATATTATTATACATGCTTTCAGATAAGAAATCTTATGTGTAGAGAGATGAGAGATTTCCCCATAATCACACAGCAAGTAGGTCAGAGGGCCAGACTTCACATGCAGGTCCTTCTGTGGTTGTCTTATTTATTTTCGGTGGCACT